TTTTTTTTTTTTTTTTTAAAAGAGACTTAAGTTTTTTTTTTTTTTTTTAAAGAGACTTTAATTCTAACTCAACTCAAAAGTTAGCTGATTGTCCAGCATCATATAAAGTGACCTTCTTATCCCTAAAGAGCCGACGTAGAACTCAATAGTTTTTGGAATGCAAATAATATTAACTACTTAAAATAAAATTTGAAGTATTTCTCCAATAAACATATCCAAAAACTGGCCAAATGCCACCTTATAGTAGTATCCTTACATGTAACATGACGTTAAGTTAACCCTGATTTTTTTTTTTTAAAATCATGTTCCCAGATTCATTTTTGAGTTCCTTTAGCTACCTATATTAATCAAAAAGTACAAAAATGAGGGGGTTGGCTTGAAGAAAGTTTTGTGGTAAACGTAGGAATCTACATGTCCCAATCCATAATAATTTCTTAAACATATTGGGACAAAATGAACCATAGTGATATGATTAATGTTAAAAGCTCTACATTTTTGTCATAACTGTATAACTTTAAATGAGGTATTATTGGTGCAACATGACAATCTGGTAGAATTCTTTATCAAATGAACATAGTGATATGATCATATAGTTAAAAATTTTATCTTTTTGTCATAACTACTTATAACTTTAAATGTGGTATCGTAGGTGAAACATGATAATCCGGTATAATTTATAGTTATCCAACGGGTGAAAATCATTTACCCTCCGTAACTTTGTGTTAAAAATCAAACTCCCCCCTCAACTTTAAACAATAATTATTCTCCCCCCTTTATCCTACACAATACATTTTTTGCCCTTGAATTTTTAATTTCCTCCTCAATTCAATACTTTTTTATTATATGATATTTTTTTTATGGTTTTAGCTATAACTTAAATTATGTAATGCCTATTATAAATTGTAATTAGAGTTCATTAAAATTATAAGTAGAATAAGTAATTAGAGTCAATTAAGACTTATCTTTATAATTGTTATTTTAATGTAATGCATATTAAATATATATTTAAGTTATATTTTCTTAGCGACGGAGCTAGAAATTCATATAAGAGGATTGAAAAACACCCCAACTTTTTTTTTCGGGATTGAACCTGTGGGCTAAGATAACTTGGGGTGTTTTTCAATCCTCTTATATGAAAAACACCCCAAGTTATCTTAGCTCACAAGTTCAATCCGAAATTAAAAAAAAAAATTAGGGTGTTTTTTAATCCTCTTATATGAATTTCTAGCTCCGTCGCTAAGAAAATATAACTTAAATATATATTTATTATGCATTACATTAAATAACGATCATAAAGATAAGATAATTTTAATGCATTCTGATTACTTATTCTACTTATAATTTTAATGAACTCTAATTATAATTTATAATAGATATTACATAATTTAAGTTATAGCTAAAACCATAAAAAAATATCATATAATAAAAAAGTATTGAATTGAGGAGGGAATTGAAAATTCAAGGGCAAAAAAGATATTGTGTAGGATAAAGGGGAGAGAATGATTACTGTTCAAAGTTGAGGAGGGAGTTTAATTTTTAACACAAAGTTGGGAAGGGTAAATGATTTTCACCCTTATCCAACAAGATAGCTAGGTAGGACAAAGCATGAAATCCTATTGTTTTGTTATAACTTGCTTGCTATCCTTCTGACATGCCTTTTTCCTCTTTTGTTTGTAATTTTAAAATTATGACAACGTTGTAGAGTTTGTGTGTTATGCAACATTAGCTACTTAAGTTGAATAGAATATGAAATCCTACCAATTTATCAGAACTTACGCATGACGCAGTTTACCCATTTTGGTTGCTCTTGTCACCATCTTTGCTGCTCAACCTAATTAGAGTAATTAAGTCCTAATTATTTTATTAAATGCGCATTTATATATATTAGGGTCATTTCAGTAATATTATCAATTCCAGTGATAAAATTTCACGATCAACCCCCAAAACTCACTTTTGTGTCAATCATTCATATTTGTGACCAGAAACAAAAGGAAAAATAACATTGTATAGTTACCTTCAAAATATATAAATTTATATACTTTTTGATTAGGGACGAAAATAGTTTCTGGCAGGCTCTAAAAGTGAAAAAACCCGAAACAAAATGGTTGCCGACCCTTGTTAGCCCATTAACCCGATACAGTTTTAGTCCTTTGCTCCGATTGACTGCAGCACGCAGCAGCATTCATTTCCAAATCACATTCGCGAATCCTCTCAATCAACGACCAGCAAAGGTAAGTTCATATCTTCCACATGTTTCACTTGTACTAAAATTGGATTCCCTAAAATGGAGTTACGAATCTCAGATTTCTAAGTTGAATTACCTAGGGTTTCTTTTTCCTCTTTGGAATTAATTGGACGCAAATTTTGTTTTTGCTGGTATAATTCTCAGGATAAAAATGGGATTCATAATGGAATTTGCGGAGAACTTGATATTGAGATTAATGGAGGATCCGAAGGAGAGAGATCGCAAGTTTCGGGAACACGTCTACGCTACAAAGGAGAGGTGCAGCAAGACTAGAGAGATGTGGAGTTATCCGCTGCGTCCTTATGGTTTCTGGACATTTGATCGGCACAATGCTCAGAACTTCTGGGACCCACAGATCAGCCAAGTCCCCGGCCGCCGCGATCCTTATGATGACCTCCTTCAGGACGGCGCCTCTACTTCCAAATGAGTTTTTGGTGAGTCGTAATTTAAGATATGATTGTTGCTTTTGCTGGAGATTCTTCATTTTTTTTTTTTTTTTTTTTTTGCTGTTATGGCTTATGTTATAGAATTATTGTGATTGAGAAAGTTAAAGGTATTTTTTGGCGGAATACATATGCAGCCCCTTAAACTTGTCCTGAGTTTTCATTTAGACACGTGAATTAAAAATTGTATCTATTGAACACCTAAACTCAAGCCAAATTATACATATTAGACACACATTGCTGACATAGCACAATGTGTGTGAAACACCAAATGTGAGCGCGTGAGACAATTTTCTTGAACAAAATTTTTTCATCTTACATTCTTTTCACGTGAGTTTGAAGTACGTTTTTGCTAGTTATGAAAAACATTAGCGGGGTGCTTTTGTTTTTCTCTCTTCTTTGTGCTTGAAAGGTGCAAAACCTTGAAAGTACATAGACAAAGACTCAAATATAGATGGCAGCCTAATTTGCACTTTGTCGCGTACTTATTAGCTTGTTTTGCCATGTCATAGTGTTGAAGATTGTCCAGTGAGGTGTCTAATAGGTACAATTTGGCTCAAGTTCAGGTGTTCAATAAGTACAACCCCTAGGTCAAGTGTCTAAAGAAAAATTCGGACAAGTTTAAGGGGCCCTATATGTATTCAGCAACTATTTTTTTATTTGAAAATTTATATGGTACTTCTTTGTGGTAATGCTTGTTCGGTTTGGATTATAAGAGGTTTTCTTATTAGACATGTGATGCATTTGTTTGGGTATTACTCTAACACGTCTCTTCATAATATAAACAAATGAGAATATCAAATGAATCCCTAGTTCTCTTTTCTTTTTTATTGATAAAGTCTGTCTTTTTATCTTTTTGATCTGTTAGCTTATGGTAATTCCCCTAATTAGACCAGAAAGGGCTTGCTACATCCATTGTTTGAGCTCAGCTGCTACTAAACCGAGAGCCTTGAGCATCATACGAGGCACGTTGTAGGAGTGGTCGTAGGATTATAATAAGTCAATGTACACTCTCTGATACCAGCTTTGACTCTACCACTTGCTTTAGTCTCTACTTGTGGTATCATAAATCCCTCCCAACAAATCTTGAATTATGAATTCTCACAAGAAGGTTAACTCTACACTGCGGGCGTTTGTGAAACGTTTTGCAGTTATCTTTCACAAAATTATACCTAAATTTTTTGAGTTCAATCTGTTCTATTTATTTTGTTAGTGATTACTCCTACTAGATAATTTGTGACCTGCCATGGACTGGGACATGGGCAAAGAAGAGCGCGCAGTCTGACTCTTACCTGTTCATGCCTGGAAATGCTTTTACTTAGCTTCCTTCTGCCCATTAAACTGGTATGAGGATAGTACTAAGTGCTAACTGTTGTACGACAGACAAAGTACTCCTTTAGCTTATTTTGTTAATGATTACTCCTACTAGATTTTACCTGGAACATTAGGAACTTATCTACTAGTTTAGAGGTGTAGAACCATGATAATAGGGAATTATTAAAAGGGCTCAGGGAAACCTAAAATCAAATGGATTTTGTTATCTCCTAGTTTATTTTGTTAATGATTACTCCTACTAGATTTTACCTGAAACATTAGGAACTTATCTACTAGTTTACACTTTACAGGTGTAGAACCATGATAATTGGGAATTATTAAAGGGCTCAGGGAAACCTAAAATCAAATGAAAATAAGTTTTCCTCAAAAGACCTATAATTTGTGGGAATTCATGCAAATCTAGCGAAAAATGTACCCATTAAGGTTTAGTCATGTTAGTACTCTTAGGTCCAGTGTTTGTTAGTTCTTTAATTTTTTGGGAAAAGGGTCAAATATGCCCCTGAACCATGAGAAATGGTCTATATATGCCATCCTTTAGTAATTGGGGTCAATCATGCCCTCCCTGTTAGAAAATTGGCGCATATATGCCCTTAATGACGGCTGATAACTAAAAAGTAATCAATCTCTTATTAGTCCACGTGTCCGATATGCAGCTTAAAATTAAAGAAAGGAAGGAAGTTGGAGTCGCTTACTGTAGGTTTTTCAACAGTGCTGCTTCACCATTTCACCAACATAATGCTGCTGGATATGCATCAACAGTTGCAAAGTCAAGAACGCTCATCGTACCTGACAATTTCACTGGGAACCTCTTAGAGTTTTTTAGAGTAAATATTGTACAACCCCTCATTTTATCTCTCCATGTTTTAGTTCTCAAAGGCATGGTCTTTCTTGATGAGTTGGTGCTAAAAATTTAAATCTGAAACTGCAGAAACATCTGGTTGGCTATAATCTGCATCTTCCATTAGTGCTGGCATGTTAAGATCTATGAACCCATTTGCTCTTTTAGAGGAATTTGAGTCCATTAAACTACCACCACACCACCTCCTCTGCCACTAGCACTACCGCCGTCACCTCTCACTCTTTCTGCTACCACCACCACTGTTAGTCATCAAATATCTGAAGCATTTCCACTCCTCTTGCTGGTCCCTTCTCCGGCTAGAACCCAAGTCACATGAAAAACAACCTGGACATTTCTTTACCTCTAAGTTATCACCGAGTCAGACTCAACCCATTTTCTTCTTGACCAAGGACGTTTTTGGGTATCCCAAGAATGGACCTTTTTAGGTTTCCTTTATTGAAGGAAGAGGAGTTTCATTAAGCTCGATTTCCTGAGTAGAGAGAGTTTGAAAAATATTAATTGCTTCAATTTACTCAGATAAAGCTTGAATGGGGGATTCTAACCAATGAGGGAAAACTAAAGACTCTTTTTGGATTAAAATAGAAATCACAAGGGACAGTAACAGGAATGAGCTTTAGTTGTTGAGGATGTTGCTTTTGGATTAGTTAGTCCTTATTTGATCTGGGTTCTATTTCTTTTTGCTAACTGCTGCAGATTCTTAGCACTTTTGTTTCAAGGTGCAGAAGAAGAGGAGGCGGAGGAGAAGGCGGGTGGTGGAAAGGGGAAGCCATTGATGGTACTAATCAGATTAATATCAAGCCATGTGGCTATTGTGAATGCTAATCAGATTAATTAGAAATTAATAAATTTTTATAGTAATTAACTGCAACTATTGATGGATAGCATATCTAGACCATTACGTATAGTTCAGTGGCATATTTACCATGTTCCCTAATTTTTTTTGGATGTGTATGTCAATAGCAAATGTAGAGAACCCTAGTATTAGAGAACCTCAAATTATTGGATATTGGAAAGAAACGGGTCCATATGGGGCGTAACGACAGTGAAGATTTATGGCGAACCCACTTCATAAAGAAAAGGGAGGATTTATGGCAAACCCAAAGATGTTGCTATTGAGGCATTTTTGTTGTATTAAATTGTGATTGACAACACTATGAGTGAGAACATTGAAGTTCAAGTCTTGGTTTACTTGCAGGATAGCCAGGAGAGGTTAGCAAAGGAGCTCTTTTACAGTACAATCCAGATTATTTCTAATGTGTATTATCTGGTTTCTAAACATTCTCCATGCTCGACTAGTGGAACAATTGAATAAATCATGATGTTATCAATGATGTCAAAGGTACCTTATTCATAAGGATATTTAGCTTTTGTTGTTTAAAATTTGCATTTGGATGATCAAATCCTTATTTTGATGAATCTGTGAGGCTGTATTATTCGCCTCGGTTCTGCTTATCTCATGATGCTAAAGTTGAAGCTGTGCACTAATTGAAAGAAGCTACAAGATTGGGTGCAAATGCCATTTGGTTATGTTATTCGTAAACTTATTTTGCACGAAGTGTTTTGCTTCAGGACTGAGATGATCTGTTTTGTTTGAAGGACATCTTCAAACTTATCAGTAGTAAACTTAGTACTTGAAGAATGTAAGAATGGTCTTGAAGACTAGAATTCAAAGCTTTATTTTGTAGAGGGAAAACCAATGAAGCTTGCTCTATAGATGATGAACGATGGTGCTGAAAATCTTCCATCCTGTAACAACTACTCTAAGGTAAAGAATAGGAGGCAGTAAACACAGAAAGCGAAAGACTAGAGATGAGAATAAAGCATGCTTACGTTGTTTGCAATGGTAAAACATCTCAGTGCTCTAGCTACCAGGTGCTGGGTACATTTTTTTTTTTAAATTTAATCCAACCACCCAGGCTTTCACCTCTTGTGGTGTTGGGGGTTTGGCGTTGACCCCTACCTTGTCTATATAGTAGAAAACTAGTACCAGGAGGACATAATCCTTATCTCAAGAGCAAAAGAATGGTGGGAATCTATCCATTCAGAAAATGTCATAGGAGCAGGACAAAGTATAGACGACAGGAGATTTACAACCTGCTCCTACGGATTCTAATCTTAACTAACAAAGAAGTTGGCCTTATCTTACCTAGTTCTAATACTAGGAAGTTGACACACATCCATAAAGAAAGGACCTTTGGCACTTTTGGGAAGCTCCTGGTAAGTGTAGAAGGAGTTAATTCCAGAAGAAGAAGTAAGTTTAGCTAGACAATCAGCAGCTTGATTGGCCTCTCTGAAGCAGTGTGTAATCAAGACATCACTCTGGTTCAAATCCTGCACCATATCAGCAACCACCCCTTTCATTTTGTAGTTGTTGGTGGACCTAACAATAAGCATATTAGTAACAAGCTGTGAGTCTAGCTCCAAAATCATATAAGTGTAGCCCTGTTGAACACACCATTGTACACCAAACTTGGCAGCTAGAGCTTCACACATATTGTTACTATGGCATTTAAACCGAAAATGAAAATGCCATAATGAGCCTTTCCATTATTCAACAAGCAATGTTGCTCGAACTCTACGAAATTTTTTTCGATTGCGTGTCGGATCCTTCAGAAGTAGAGGATCCGACATGGGTAACTACCATCGGTGTTAATTTTGATCTATCCCTCCTTTGGTTTTTGCCAATAAACTAGGGTGTGTCTTAGAACAGGTTTCAACCTCTCCACCATAACACAGATGTCCATCCATTGATAATTCCAGTTGCAACTATTGAAGGACATATATTGCCCTTTGGGTAGTCCATTCGATTTGTTGCTTCATTTTGTGCAAGTTAACTTTCTTTGGTCACCATATTTACAAGCACAGTGCTCCTTCCATAATTCCCAGCATATAACAATTGGAGTAACCTGCAACAACAGTTTATGAACCTCATTCTTTGGCTCTACTATCCACCAGTTGTTCAGAACACATCTAATATGCATCATCTGGTGCCTTATACCTAATGGTGTATCGAAATGTTTCCAGATACAACCTGACTTTCCATGAATACATGATGAATATTCTCACCTTGAAGGACACTGCAACATCTACATTCAGATACCAACTGGTTTCCAAATCTTGAAATAACATCATCCATAGGCAGTTTTTCTAAGACAAGTCTCCATGCAAGAAAAGATATTTTAAAAGGAATGTTAGAGAGCCAAACCTTGCTGTTGAAACAATATTTGTGAGCTACATTTCTAATAGAGTAAATCCCACTAACCCCCCCCCCCCGCCCTACAACCTTTAATGGTTAGGAAACAATACCCCCTCCACCTTTTGGATGAGGCCGACAATCCCCTTGAATTGCATGATTGGGTGAGTTTTAGAATTTTAAACAACTGTCCTTGTCCTTTTTGTTTAAAGGTTCAATAAACAAGAGATTCTAATAATTTTTACCATCATTCTACAATCAATTCACTTTAAGCTCGTATGCCATTCCAATGAATATCATGCTCTATCATCCATTAATGTCATGCAGTAAAACACAGCACTTAACAAGGATCAGAAATGAACTTGAAAAGCTCACCTACATAACTGGATGATAGTCTCAAACATGCATTCCTGTATTATACATGATTTTGTACGGATCAAATCAACCTTTTTTGAAGTAGACTATTAGATATTTAAGTAAGCATTCTTTCAAAGTAGCAGTTCATATGCTTTGTTTATTTAATTTTTCAAGCAAAAATTATTCACAAGATGGAAGACTAATGGGATTAAGTCTGAATTTCATCGAATCAATACAAATTGACGGAAATCTTTTGACAGAATGAATTCGTCAATTGCTTTCGTATATTTCAAGTGAATTGTCAATTTCCTAACAATTACTCTGACAGTAACGTGTAATTTTTCCACTGCAATTGCAAATATGCTAACTGCTCCCGCTGTTTCTATTTAGTTGTCGGGGGATAAGGTTCTACACATCCATTAAGAGGATATTAATAAGAAGCGTAAATTTAACCAATCTACCCCTTATCAATTCTTTAGTATTGGTCTATTTACGTGCTTCTTAATTCTAGAACAATTAATACTAAGAGTGTTTAACCCAAAAAATAGTTTTCAAGGTCAAAGCAATAATTTTATATGACGGGCCACAAGCAACCGATTCAATGAATATAATAAAAATTAAGCAGAGAAGAAAGAATTCTTATTGAATGATCCTTGATAGGATAATGAGCTGAACAGAGCTTGAAGGGCCGAACTTTGGCTAACTTGGGAGTTATATGCTATAAATTACAATGTATAGAATTGTAGAGAAGAAAATTAGACCCCCCCCCCCCCCCCCATCGGTGGTAAAAGTATGTCTATTTATAGGACTAAATCTAAGTAACCATTCTCCTTGAATTATGTGTCCATTATGAGCATTTACCCAATTCATCCATTACTTTTGGAAGACTTGCAACAGCTGGGTAAATGCTGAAATTCCGTAACTGATGAGTTAATTTCGTAACTGATGAGTTAATTCCGTAACTGATGAGTCAATCCCGTGCCTATTGAGTCATTCCCGTGCCTGTTGAGTCAATCTCGTGCCTGTTGAGTCAATCTCGTGCCTGTTGAGTCAATCTTGTTATTGATTGCCTTGTTCTGACCGTTACAATCATTTATTGCGTTTATTAATAATTGATTTGTAACTGATGGTGCAATCCGGGATTAATTGATTCCTTCCTCATTTGTAATTATGAGATATTCTCCCGCACCTGATCTGGGCTATTTCATGATGATCAGTTCCGAGGCTAACATGCACGGTATGTTCGGTCCCGGGGGTGTTTGATCACGCCCAACTATGCCTTCTAAAAAAGAACTCTACGGACGTTGCAAATATAACCCGAGTATTACGCCCAGGGTCGAATCCACAGAGAGTTAACCTATCAACCGCTATCTTCAAACCCACCAAGTATTCAGCACCAGCTTCTCAAACATTCAAATTCTCAGTTGAGTGTTCTTTAACAACTAGCTTGCAAGTAACTAAATGGCTGTAACTAAATTAATAAGGTTGTAAACAATTATGGGACAAAGCTAAGGCAATGATTTCCCCTATTGATGGAATCCCTCCTGTTTATGCTCATACAAATTTACCCACTCATCTCTATCAATCTTGAACGCTAATCTTACCGCAAATCTCTCCCGAGTAATCACAGTAATCTACTATTGCACTCTCCCGAGATACACTAGCTTGCTTTATTTAGCACAATTCAATCTAGATTGCACCCAAGACTTCGTTATTCCTAATTCCGCCTTTAAACCCGCAATTATAGATTCCTCTAATAATCTAGGAGTGGTGTTGTTCAACAATACCCTAAATATGCACTCTTTTCCAAGTTATGCACACTAATAGGTACAGCTAATTGAGGATCCTGTCAATTAACTACAACGAACACGAAGTTGAACAAATAAGGATTAAACTAGCAATTTGTATTCACATAAACAAGAAGTTCATCACCCAATAGGTTCCATCAAAGCCTTAGACAAGGAATTTAGCTACTCATAGATATGGGATAATAAACTACGCTTGAATTCATCATAAAAATCAAAAGAAAGGAAGAAAGATGTTTAGAGTACTTGCTCCCAATTGTTTTCCTTGCTAAGAAACCTAAAAAATCAATACATGCCTCTCTTGGGCGAAGTCTAGTGTTTTAAATAGGGTTTAGGTCATATTTTACACTTAAGTCCCTGAAGTTTACTGTGCCTTTACCGCGGTCGCGGTAGAACCGCGGCCAAACGCCCTCGCGGAATCTTCAACTTTCAGAAACTGCCTTCCACCGCGGTTTCACCGCGATCGCGGTAGAACCGCGGTGGAACTTGTACCCGGAAATTTTGGCCTGTTTTGAATGGGATACTTGGGAAATTCAACAATTGGCGTTTTTTCATCAATAGTTGACTCCAAAACCGCTCCTTAGCCTTCCTTACACCTATATCACCTGCAACTCATGAAAAGCACTAATAAGAGCATTTTGTTGTCATTTTTCCACATTAAAAGCTTACAAGAAGGTGATTATTTGGTGCGTAATTATAGTCAAATTCACCTATTATCAACACCCCACACTTAAACCTTTGCTCGTCCTCGAGCAAGCTAAACCACACTTCTATATCTAACTGTGCAATGTATTGCCCCAATTTATGTCACACCTGATATTATCAAAGACCGACCTAAGCAGTGCACAATCATATCTCAAATGCAGACTCTCATGCCAAGACACACTTGTGCTCACTCTAATTACTCTAACTAAAATGAAGATTCACTTTTTCTTCCTGAGTCACATGTCCTCACATAAACACGATTTGAGAGTAGTTCCACACACAATAAAATTCAACAACGAGGAACCATATATAAACAGAATTCACTCACTCTCAGCAAAGAGCATTCACATGCCACACAGATACACCATACGCTTGCCCCTAGTGTAATACTCCACTAATCGAGCCATTCAGTCAAAGATCAAGAGGTCTTTATTCGGTTGTAATGTAGGCTAAGGGACGGGTAGGATATATTTAGATATAGTGACTAACCTCCCTAAGCACTTTTAATACATACTTCCTTTTATTTTGCTTTCATGATCAACCCACTTGTTTCTCCATATTTTATTTCACTTGCGCCACCCCACTTCTCGTTAGGTACAACTGGCTCCTTTTCTTTTTCTCTTTTCTCTTTTTTTTTTTCAGATTTATTATAACTGCCAGTTCACCAATCAGACCGTCATTCTTGATTCCCCCCCCCCCCCCTTTTTTTTTCTTTCTTTCTCCCCACCCCACACTTTGACTTTTGTATATACTTTAGTGCTTCAAGTGCTTATAGGAGGGAAAAGTTCAATTAGCGTATTTAAACACCACATTTAGATCATTATAGGGTTATCAAAGAAAAGGCTTCAGGCTCAAAGGGGTTAACTATGGTAATATGCACAGGTGGATTTCCGAGTATAAAGGGTTACACAAAGAAATGCCTCAATCATCTCTAAAACCGAACAACTTCTATTTCGCTTTGCACACACACAGGGCAAGTTCTAGGTATCATATGCAAACATAAGATGCAAGTAACAGCTCACACACACTTAGCATGTAACTCATTCCGAATCAGTTCATCAACACAATCATACGAGTGTTCAAGCAAGACAAGATGTGCAAAATTAAGGCATATATTATGAGTCCACAAACAAGCTTAGATGTCACACACTCAAGTTCTTTTCTATNCTGTTTATGCTCATACAAATTTACCCACTCATCTCTATCAATCTTGAACGCTAATCTTACCGCAAATCTCTCCCGAGTAATCACAGTAATCTACTATTGCACTCTCCCGAGATACACTAGCTTGCTTTATTTAGCACAATTCAATCTAGATTGCACCCAAGACTTCGTTATTCCTAATCCCGCCTTTAAACCCGCAATTATAGATTCCTCTAATAATCTAGGAGTGGTATTGTTCAACAATACCCTAAATATGCTCTCTTTTCCAAGTTATGCACACTAAATAGGTACAGCTAATTGAGGATCCTGTCAATTAACTACAACGAACACGAAGTTGAACAAATAAAGATTAAACTAGCAATTTGTATTCACATAAACAAGAAGTTCATCACCCAATAGGTTCCATCAAAACCTTAGACAAGGAATTTAGCTACTCATAGATATGGGAGAATAAACTACGCTTGAATTCATCATAAAAATCAAAAGAAAGGAAGAAAGATGTTTAGAGTACTTGCTCACAATTGTTTTCCTTGCTAAGAAACCTAAAAAATCAATACATGCCTCTCTTGGGCGAAGTCTAGTGTTTTAAATAGGGTTTAGGTCTAAAAATCCCGTGTTTTACACTTAAGTCCCTGAAGTTTACTGTGCCTACCGCGGTCGCGGTAGAACCGCGGCCAAACGCCCTCGCGGAATCTTCAACTTTCAGAAACTGCCTTCCACCGCGGTTTCACCGCGGTCGCGGTAGAACCGCGGTGGAACTTGTACCCGGAAATTTTGGCCTGTTTTGAATGGGATACTTGGGAAATTCAACAATTGACCTTTTTTCATCAATAGTTGACTCCAAAACCGCTCCTTAGCCTTCCTTACACCTATATCACCTGCAACTCATGAAAAGCACTAATAAGAGCATTTTGTTGTCATTTTTCCACATTAAAAGTTCACAAGAAGGTGATTATTTGGTGCGTGATTATAGTCAAATTCACCTATTATCAGTGTTTCACATATCATCTTTACATGTCATTCTTCACCTTTCTTCAAACTTTGCTGACACGTGTTGCCATTTAATAGACCCACATGGCGAGTCTAATTTTCACCGATACAAAGGGTGAAGTTGAAAAAAAAATATTAATCCTCTCTTGATTTTCTAAAGTAACAAGTATTCGTGATCAATTATTTTTAATATACATGATGACTACACGGGAACAGAGTAATAACTTGTTATACATATTGAAGTATTTTCAAGCAAATGGCAACGGAGAAGGTAAAAGTCTAGCACTAGATGGGATTTAACAAATATTTAAATAGTTAATTTGATTTCCTAATGCTAATAATAAAATTTCTCACGTGTGCACAAGTTTTCTAAGAACTTTTCAAGTAAAATGAAAATATAAAAGCAAGATATTATTCCATGTGTTATGTTCAAAAAAACAAAAAAGCAAGATATTATGAGCTAGTTTTTTGAGTTTGAATTAGATCCAATGTCCATTCTCGTATCATGGTACTAGAGTCAAATTCATCTCATTTGATGTCGGGCCTCCATATTATATTTAATTGTTTATGCTAGAGATTAGCACATCATTATATTTGCACTAATATTAGATCAATTTCACACATCATTACACTTGTGATAAAAAAATATTACCATTTTTTTTTTTGAAACTTAAATAGCATAATTGCGATTCTTGATATATCTATTTGAAATATAGTTTGTATGTTGTTCCAATTCACTATCCCAACAACAAACCAATAAACCACTTCTAAAAATCGCAAGAAAAAAAAGAAATTTAGAAAAAAAAGAAAGAACCAAAAGTGTGTTAGTTTACTAGAATACCCTTGTTAGGTAACCTCCATAGTGTCCTGAATAAACCCTAAACCCTAGATATTACTCAAAATCGCGGCTCTCACTTGTATCATCTTCAATTCAATGGCGGATTCAGTGATATCGTTGGACAAAGTCAAAGCTTTCTGGAATTCTCAGGTTCATGATGAAGAAAAGTGGAATCTCAACATGGTAACTCCTTTTCCTCTTCTGTCTTAGAAATAATAGGTGATTGTATTTAATGATTTGTCCCTAATTTGCTTAAAATACAACTTATTTACTTTAAATGAAGTGGATTGAATGAAGCAGAATGGATACAGAGGATTTCTATAGCCGATATAACTAGTTTTCAATTGAGATTTAGTTGATTGATTGATAAATTTTAATAAAATTAATTGGTGCCCGTTTGGACATAAAATTTGATGGAAGATTTTTCCAAAAAAATTTCACTTTTTTTCGAAATCAGCGTTTGTTCATAAAATTTTGAAGATGCATTTTGGAAATTTTCCAAAATTTGGAAAACCTCGAAAATTTGAAAAACTGCAAAAAGCTGTTTTTCAAAATTTTCGCTCAAATCACTCACAGAACTTCAAAAACAACCCAAACTGAAATTTATGTTTACTCACATCTCTAAATTTCAAATACCATTTTCACTTAGAAAATTTTTTTCGCAATTTTTTCGAATTTTACAGTTCTTATGTCCATAAGAAGATTACATATTGAAACTTATATTTCAAGTATGAACGAAGAAACAGAGGAAGGATATGGTTGGGGGGGTGGGAGGGGGGGGGGGGTAGTTGTTGGGACTTTTGGAAGCCTATCACTTACATCAGCAACATGGCCATAATTTTTTGTGTGCAAAGCTTTGGTCAACTATGCAACTTTTCGTTGACATGTTCGGGTACTAACCTTGTTTTGGAGGATGGGAAGGGGGTGAAAGGATGCAGGTTGTATTGTTTAACAGAAATAGCTCTAGTTGTTTACTAGAATCCTGCATATTTTCTTTGGATTCTGTTTTGTGTATGACCATGTCGATGTGTTCCCGATCAGCAGTTGTTGAGGGAATAATATTGCAAATCCCTTGATTTCTTCAGCTCTATTCTTTAGCAAGAGAAAAATTCCAGCAAAAATATATTTTTTGGTCTTCAAGAGCAAATTATGTATGCTTGTTGTCACTTTTTTTGGGCTACAGGCGTTTAAGCTTTTATGAGACCATAATTTTTCTTTTTTCTTTGGTGTGTGGGTCTGAACAAAAAGAGATTGTTATTGTGAAAAGCATTTCTCAACTAATTTTGATTTGGGCCCTGTTCGTTTATTTTAAATGTGGGTCAGAAGAAAAGGATATTGTTATTGTGGAAAACATTTCTCAACTAATTGTGATTTGTGCCCTGTTCCTTTTTTATTCGGGCCCTGTTCATTCTTTTTTGATTTGGGCCCTGTTCATAGTTTCAGCATGGGTGATCTTCCCTCTTGATCAAAGATGATAGTGTATGTTGGTCTACTCGGGATTTTGTTGGTGCAGATTAGAAACAATAAGGTTCAGTTGGTAAGATTACATCTGATAAAGATGCCCTTAACTAGCTGGGTTATGTAGTCTGACGTTTACATCTGGTAACATTATATGCTAGGCTGTGTAGTCTGACGTTTAAACTGCCAGCGTGCCTGAGTTTCCAAAATCTACCATGCCCACCTTATTGGTTGGACTTAAGACCTAAAGACTGAGACCCGTAAATATGGTGCTGGAGTGAATTTAATGTTTTTAAGCTCAAAACTAAACACCCACGCTAACCATATTAATCGTGTGCTTTCTTTGTAAAAAGATCATCTCATTCGTGTTTGATACTATGTATACAAACCATGCTCACTATATTGAATGTGTAGTTTCTTTGTCGAATATCGCCTCATTCTTGTTTGATACCGTGTAATTCGATAATGACTAATACTTAATTTACCATTATGTTGACTCTGTAATCTGATTTTGTCTGCAGCTGTTACATACATTGTGATTTTGCTAGTCAATGTTTCATGGGGTACATAAGAAACATATTGAATCGATGCTTTTCAATGAACAGAATGTAGAACTTAAAATATGGAGTAGCATGCCTGCCTATAACTATAATAAAAAGCTTTTCTTTAACTTGTGCTTTGGCTTCAGTTTGATTCTTGTGTATTTCTCCTATTGTCTGTATCTCCTTTTCTGTTTAGCACTTTCTGCCCACTTTAACTTGTTCTTTCAATTTTCTATTAGTGGCTCCCAGAAATTAGTGGTTGTTAAACGGTGATGCTAGCTTAGACCTCATTCTCATGACGGCTTGTTTGATTTGTCATTAATTTGAGGCAGACCCTCTTTGTTGTTATCATAGTAAAGTTGATATATTACTAAGTTTATACCTTGGTGAAATCAACTGCAACACATGAAGTTGAAATCCTGATTACCTTCTCCTATTCTTCTCAATTCTCATCATAACCATTTAAAAGAAAAATTGCCCCGAGAAAATGAATTGTAGACGAGTCAATTAGCTATTTGTAAACAGCTTCTCCCGCACGCCCCTCAAAAATATGGGTAGATGAAAGCAGTTTTATTGTTCATAATAAGTCGCTTTGCAGGTTCTTGGTGGTATGTTCGATGTTCAATGTTATATCAACTTCCAATTTTTATGATGCTTGTTTAAAAATTTAAGCAGATAATAGTACATCATTTTTGTACTTGTCTGAAACAAAATCGTAGCAGTCTCACGTCCTATTTAACTTTTGGTTTTGCATACCTTTTTGCAGAAACTGCTTCGAGCTTCAGCACTCTTTGCTGGTTCCATCATTTTGATGCGCCAGTATGGTGATCTCATGGCTATCTGAGGAGCCATGGATATACATTCTCAAGGACACTTGGACGAGGACCTAAAATCTCGGATCACCTCCTTTTCTAAGTATGAAAGACATCCTATGTAAGAAAATAGGTTACTGTTGTTGATATTGGATTTCCTCAACATCTCCTTTATGGAGTCTATTCTGCTGATAGTCACCTTTCATTCTAATTTTCCTATTTATCAGCCAGCTATTACTTGAATTCTTTTTTTTGGTACTAATAATCAATTAGCAGATTGCTTTCAGTGCTGTAGGTGCAAATGAGAGAGCCTTTTGTTTAAATGTGCAAAAGAGTTGGAAAGATAGCAACGAGATTTAAAAACGACCATGTGGATTTGTAGTTTGTGGAAATTCATACTAGATCGAAAAGTTTGTGCAGTTTATAGATGAATGGGATAAATGTGGATGGTAAGTCCAACAATCCGACAAATGTTTTATCCTTTAAACACTAAGATATCTCTTTAACAATAATATATAAAGATGTAAAAGCAGTTCATACTTAATTATAAATGGCTTATTATGCACGTATTCACACGGAATTATGTTCTCCGCTCTGCTTTTTCTCTTTAGTTTACCTTTTACCTCACTTCTACTATATAATCTTTTCTGAATCTTATAGAAATGTTTCAAATAAATTCCAATTTACCAACGTCTAGCCATTAATTATATATTTACCAGAACTAGTCAAGCACATATAAAAATTAAAAACTCAAATAAATAAGGTTTTTTATCTCCAAGAATCGCATGCAAAGATCTATTTTCATATTTTTAAGTGTGAGTAGCAACAATAGATGCAAGACGGAAAGGAAATTTCATAGATGAGGTAGCAAATAATGTTATGATATATATATATATATATATATATAATATTTCAAAAATCTAAACAAAAAAGATCTTTTTTAATGTGTACGGTTGAAATTCATTGAAAACATATAGATGAGTCAATATACAAAATTTGAGGGAGATTGGAGGTGATTTGTACTGATTTGGTATAAAAATTCGTAGTTAAAATCGAGTTAAAAAATTCTTCTGCAACACATGTATCAACCATGTATCACGCATATCTCACACACATGTATACATGTGATACACATTTGATACGAATATGATACATATGTGATACACAAATGATACACAATGTGATACACATTTTTTTTCATGTTCATTTTCTACTTGGAATTTTCTATTCAAACCACCTCAAAACCCCACCAAATCATCCCAAAACTGAGATTCAAGCTCCTTAAGATTAACCATTCTATTATAAATAACACTAACTTAAAAGAATGCAAGAAATTTGACTTTTTGGCTACAAATAGCTAACTGGCTAATATTGATAATATTTTATAAATTAGCTGATTTTTTGTAATAAGCTACTTCTAAATGGACATAGCTAATAGTTTCCCAATCTTTTCTTCCCAGGGCTGCACGAGAGTTGCCTTTTTCCGCACTTCTACTATATATATAAACTAGATGTTTTTTTTTTGTTCAAAAGATAAGCATATATATTGCGATTAAGTTAAGCGTACAGAGAATTGGTGCATATACTGCATCCTACTAGAAGATAATACACTACTGCTAGGTAATATGCTATTATACAAACCCCTAGTATTGCTATTATCTACTGCAGTTAACTTGCATCCACTGGTAGAAGCGTCAGACTTCGATGGAGCAATGTTGAGATCAGTCAAAACATGGTCCGGTACTGTAGTTGTTGCTAGCATTTCATACTTATCTTCTTCAAAAACTTGCCGTACAAAATCTGGGATTGTTTCAAAAATATGCTGCACAGAGTTGTTTCCAAAATTACTTACTTCCTTAGCTAGTCGATCCGCAACCCTATTTTGTTCTCTGTACGCATGTTGCACTACTGGTTTACCTAACCTGTCCAGGAGGTACCTGCAGTTAATTAGTATATTAGCAAATGACACATTATTAGATTGGATCATTGTGATAACCTCTTTAGCATCCACTTCCACCTCCAGTGGTTTTAAATTGTGTTCATGTGCAAGTGTAAGACCAAGTAACAATGCATGCAATTCCGCTGACATAGATGTATCCCTTGGGATAGCAGTTGCAAATCCCAATATCCATTCTGCTTTTGAATTTCTAATTATTCCACCGGTGTCAGTAGTCGTATCTGTGCAAGCCCCATCTGTATTGAGTTTGTAAAAGTTATCTTTTGGTGGAATCCACTTAAGATTTAGTTGTTGTTTTTCAACACATTTATGGCATTTAGCTACTAGATAGGTGAATTCCGCAGCTTGCTGAGTCGTATGTCTAACTGAAGCTCTATCTGTAGTATGATTGTAAATATTTTTATTACGTGCTAGCCAGATCTTCCATAGGCTTAGTGGTAAATATGTGCGTGAATTTATATAATAAGAAAGCTTAATACCTGACAGGTAATGAGCTCATGCAACCAGTTATTGTTTTGTGTGTTAGTGAGGAGTCGATCAATAATCTGGATGATGCCCAGTTCCTGCCAGTATGCTGTAGCATTGATGCATTCTAGAAACAAGTGTTTTACTGTTTCATTCTCTTGGTGACAATATTGACAAGTTGCATCTTGAATTAGATTGATATGTTTAAGGAAATCCTCAGTAGGGAGTCTATTATGATAAAGGAGCCAAATAAACCCTTTGATTTTGGGTTGGATAGGGAGCTTCCATATCCAAGAGTATTTGACATGGCTATTAGTAGGTTGATATAAGTTTGTTGCCAAAGCAATGTACATAGATTTAGTAGTGAAGTTCCCCATTGGTGTTAGGCCCCAGTAGATAGTGTCTTCCTTAGGATCAAATTTAGAGATGTAGGTACTTAGAATTGTATGAGTAATAGCGGGAGGTAAGTCAAATGGAAAATTATTCCAATCCCAGCCCCTATCATTTAATAGAGAGGAGATCATGATATTGTGATGGCTAGATGGCAGTGGTCCTTGAATTTGAGATCGAATTGTTGTGCCTGCCTTAATCCAAGAGTCTTCGCAAAATTTGATATGCGTTCCTTCTCCTATTTTCCATTTTATTCCTAGTTGACATTGTTGCCAACCATGGAGAATATTTGTAACGACCCGACCGGTCGTTTTGAGCTCTAGCGCGCCGTTCAGCAGTTTGAGGCCATGAGCAGCTTCATTTCAGGTATAATGACTTTTGCGCGTAGTCGGAATTAAATTTCGGGAAGTTCGGGGTTGACTTGGAGAAGAAATTCTCATTTCGGAAGCTTTAAGTTGAGAGAATTGACTAGGATTGGATTTCAGAGTAAACAACCTCGGAATCGGGACCTGAAGGTTCCAGTAGGTTCGTATGATGATTTCGGACTTGGGCATATGCCTGGATCGGGTTTTGGATGACCCGGGAGCGTTTTGGCGCCTATTGTAGAAGTTAGCATTTTGGAGGAAATTTCATAAGTTTGGGTTGAAGTGAATTTCAGTGTTATTGATGTCCGTTTGGGATTCCGACTCTGGGAGTAGCTCCGTATGGTGATTCTCGAGTTGGGAGCGCGATCGGAAGTGAATTCGGATGCCCGTGGGTCATTTTGGGGTCATTTGGCTAAAGATAAAAATTTGAAGGTTTTTAAGAAGTTTGACTGGAGGTGGACTTTTTGATATCGGGGTCGGAATCCGATTCCGAAAGTTGGAGTAGGTCCGTAATGTCGAATATGAATTGTGTGCGAAATTTAAAGTCAATCGGACGTGATTTGATAGGTTTAAACATCGGAAGTAGAAGTTTGAAATTCTAAAGTTCATAAAGCTTGGATTGGAGGTCGATTCGTGGTTTTAGCGTTGTTTGATATGATTTGAGGCCTCGAGCAAGTCCGTAATGTGTTTTGGGATTGGTTGGTGAAATAAATGGTTATGTGCTCCTATTTGTAGGGGGCTACGTATGCACGAGGTGACAAGAGTCCGTGCGTAGCTACTAATATGTGTAAGTCCGGGTAGTCTAGGACCCAAAAGCATGCTATACTTGGAATATCTGTAACCTTATTGACATTGAATTTCTTAAATCCTATCGAATTGGTAAATGAATTTCTAAAAAGACTAAACTTCATTTTCTTGAATTGTTAAAAGAGAATTGGCTTTTCCTTGGATAATTGTTCCCTGATAAATTCATGATTGACTGATTGTTTTGTTTATTTATATTTGACCGCGTCGCATGTATGATTCACGAGCGGGATAATAGATGCATCTATGGTTCGGGCCGCTCGACCCTCGGCAGTGCACATTTTACATTTATGTTGGATTGGGCCGTACGACCTCGGCATGAATTGCGCATGTTTGAATTGCTTGTCTTGAGATTTATTGATATTGCCATCTGCTCTCTCCGACTTGAGATAATTGTTAATTAATGGATTATGAATCTGGAGACTTTTAATAAAAAGGAACTTTTAGCTGTTTAGTAATTCATTTGAATCTACCACTGTCCTTAATAAATTCGTGAGTCATCGCTTTAATAATATTATTATTTGACCATTAGTAAGTGTCAAAGTTGCCATCTCGTCTCTACTTCTTCGAAATTAGGCGGGATACTTACTGAGTACACGTTGTTTACGTACTCATGCTACACTTGCAGTGCATGTTGTTGCACAGGTGCAGGTACTTCTACTGGCCTATTGGGCGTAGCAGCACGGGCGACCCGGAGACTAAGCGAGCTGTATTTCCTCGAGGCGACCCGCAGCTAGTATAGTCTCTCTCAGAATTTTGTTTACTTTCTGTCCAATTTGTGTTCCGGACAGCTGTTGTACTTTATTCAAATTCTTAGAAATTGCTCATGCACTTGTGACATCAGATTCTGGGATGGTTACGAAGTATTTTATATTAATTGCTTATCATTTAATTTGAATTGAAGCGATCATCTTTTATTTGGTAAATTTGGAGGAAAGTCATAGATTTCAAGAGTATTAAAACGAGAATTTAATTAAGTATTTTGGTTGGCTTGCCTGACACTGGTGTCGGGCGCCATCACGACGCTTAGTAGATTTTGGGTCGTGATAACATGGTATCAGAGCACTAGGTTCCCGTAGGTCTCACGAATCATGAGCAAGTCTAGTAGAGTCTCGCGGATCGGTACGGAGACGTCTGTACTTATCTTCGGGAGGCTCCAGAACTGTTAGGAGTACTTCCCTTCTTGATTCCTCATCGTGCGATTTGATTCCTGGAGGCTTGTGCCCCTGTTTCCTTCCTACTCAATCCCACGCGACGCGAACCGCCTGTATAAATCTAGAATTGAAGAATTGTAATGGTACTACC